TTGCTTATTCGCTGCGGGTTGAAATACGTACTTGCGGTTAGAGTCCAGCTGTGATAGTTATACACACTGTTATTTCCAACCCGACTATAAGGTCGCAAATGTAATCGATCGTTTCAACCAGTGGGACGTAGGTAAAAAGAGACGACATCGAAAGAGAGCATTACTTTCTCATTGTTTTTATCCTCCTTGATACTTTCGACAAAATGGAAGCCGTCACGAAGGCTGTAGGTAGCGAGCTGTTGTCGCACGGGTTCATGAAGTTCTACAAGCCACTGAGCGACGACATGGTACGGTGAGTTGGCCATCGATGACATAGGACGAAGTGTGATGTTGGCTTCGTGGGTTTTTGATAACACGTAACCCGTATTTTTTAGCCTCCATATGATTGTAATGGTCTGATGATAAATCATCGAAAGCAATCTCGACTCTGCTGAGACATTGACAATTCGCTCCACCCAACAATTTGAGTGGTCAAAGTAACTATTTCTCAACGAGATTTTTATCCACATAGTTTGCACAATCTAATCCTACGGTGATCTCTTATTTTCGGGTGTGCACTGTAGACCGCATGAACATTGGTAACATTATGGACTGATAGGATTTTTGAAGGGGTGATTTTGCTGAGACACGCCTACACAAATGTATCAGTATTTCATTGGTTTGCTATCACTAAAGTGACGTTTTTCCCTTTTGCACACATATATTGTGTTCAAATTTGGTTGTGACCACTGCAGCGCCCCTTGAAATGTGTACCTTGTAGAGTGAATCACACGGCCGTGCGCTTGCAGTGTTGCTCGCGGGTTTGGTGTAGAAGTGAAGTGTTGGGAGTCAGCGACAGCCTGTGACTGACATACCACCGTTTCTGCACGCTACATGTGCAGTGGATTCGGTAAATCATCCTTAGCTTAGTGGAACGCTGGAAGCGATCACGGTTTTAAATGCTTTCCGGAAGTAATGCATGTAAATGGTGCACAGCACATATCTGCGTGTAAATCAGGTGGATGGCTTCCGTGAGCATGAGAGGCTAATGGTCGAGTGTTTCTTCCTTCCTGGGCTCATTGTTTTATAGCCTGTGGCCCTGTAGCTTGCGCCACAGCCACACTTAAGTGTGGACATGCAATGTGAGTTTGTCCCGATGACTACTTTCAGTCGTTGGGGGGCCAGTTGATCTACTAGTGTGTTATGAATAGCATATACTATGTACCTCACTGTTCTCGTGAGAGCATGGTCGACTACAGTATTAGCTCTCCCTGTCCTTACTGTGTGCACTCTTTATTGAGGCCATTGTGTACTTACATTTCGGTGCGAATCTACTTATGGTTCCACTTTCCAATGAGCCCCCAGGCAGACATCAGTGTGCATGTTTTCTCGCATAATTAACCGAAGCCCTCATCAAGCTCCGGTTGTGCTCCAGCTAACAAACACACACGACATTGTCGGAGTGCTTGGTTTAATTGCCGGCTCTGATAAATCTAATAACATAGCTCCTACCTCACAAACTAGATTGCTGCTCCGACGGTCACTAATTCCCACTAAGCACCGAGCCGGATCATTCGATGATGGGTTTCTTGTCGACGTGTTGGGCCTATGCAGCCTGCCACGGGCCTTTGTCTGATTCTATATTTACGATGTGGTGGAGTCACATTGTTTTCATCAACTATACTTGCTCATTAGTATGGGTAATATTTTAAAGCTACATATTATACTCATTTCTACTTCTATGGCATCTTTTTGTTTCTTTTTCCTGACACCTTTGCATTTGCTGATGTTCGAAAGGATATGCTACCTGTCTCGTAACTCAAAGGTCTCCGGTTCGAATCTACATAGGTGTGGGTCACATTGCGGTATCACTAGTCCTGGCGCATCATCACCAGCAACAGCAATACATCAGCCAGTTGAACCGATGCTTCGCTGCCGTACAACCTTAACGACCTACGGAACGAAGAATAATAGGAGGGAGAGAATGGGGACTTACCGGAAAACCTTAGTGCCCTAAGCAAACATTCAGGGTCAATGCGCTTGCACTTTGTGTAGACAACATACCGTCACAATTAGCTGGCTATCATGCAAAGATAAGGGGGAATCAATGAGACAGCTTCCTTGCGGCTTTCACTGCCACGCGTCATAATCAGCCATCACCTTGTAGATAACTTAGCACCAGACAAACTTTAAACAGGCAATCCGACTATATGGCAGCAGACATGCTGCTGGTATCGGTTGCGAGCCATGTTCTGTAATATCTCAAGCCAAGCACAAGGTGGGTCACGTGGACCCCAGTTTTGAAAGCGAGACGGACCGAGGGCACTAGGTTTGGTTGTCAGTGACTTTTTTTCACGCTGCCAAGTCAGCTTTGGCCCATATCTAACCTTGCTCCACCCTACATCTTACGGATCAAACAACGCCCTCGGTGAATGGTGACCGAGCGTACGTAATTCTTGCCCAAGCCAACGCAACTTATTCAGTACTATTTATTGTTCTAAGGAGCTAGTCTGGATATCACTTCCTAGTAATAGCTTACGCGAATCATCCTTACGGACACACTGGTGCCATCCGACACCAGCAATGCTCCGCAGACAACGATGATCAAAGACTTGGAGACGCCGAAGGGGCCAAGTGTCGCTTCCATAGAGTAGGACGGCCCTCACTGTGGCCTGTAAATACGGTCTTTTAAACGGAGGGAAAACCCTTCCTGACGCCGCAGATTCAAGGTAGTTCTGGCTTTTGCAATGCATGAACGGACTTCATTTGCTAGTGGCCATTTGGCAGCGATGTAGTTGAGGCGCCTCGACGTACTACTGATTCCTTATTCTTCTTCTGTCATCTTTAAGTAAAGCATGTACCCCACATGTATTCCGCGTTGCGTATGATAATAGCACCTTTATCTTTGCTTAGATTACATGACGCCACATATTTCACTTCTAATTCTCAAGGTGCTTGTAAGTGGCAGTCTGTCGAGTCGTACGGTATGCATCGCTACTCGTGGGCTAGAGTTCTTTTTTAACATTTGGTTCATTGCTTCGAACCTCTGTCGGCAGTTGAAATGCATACCTCTATCGAATTCCCAAAAGACCAGTCGGCCAGTAGGGACTTTTCTGTATGCTTGGGCTGACTGTCCGTCCCCATTTGGGATGAATTTCATCTGACCAGTTTCAACCCCACTGCTGATCTTCCTCTTTGTTGTTTTTTCCGCATTTTCCATCTTTTTCTTTTACGATCCCAGGGATCGAATCTCCCAAGATTCGCTTCATTACCAATCGCGGTCCACATTAAAGTGATGCGTCTCAATCCATTCACATAACCGGTGCTTCAAAATGGTCCCTCCAATCAGTTTCTGGTTTAGTTTGCTCCCCTCTTGTTCCCACATTGTTTCCATTATCTATTTCCTTCGGCTTTTCGTTGCTGCTTACATTGCATTTTCAGATTGGAGCTCGTCCACACAAGATCGTGATCGATTTTTGTGTGCCTGCTGCGCCTTAGCGTAGAAGCCTCCCTATGAGACACAGCAGCTACAGAATTCTGACTAATCCTCAGTGAGCATCGTGTTACTGGACTCATTCCTAAGTCACCTTTGTCACCCACTGACGACGATTAGGCTACGTGCGCAAGGCGGACACGCTAGGTCGCCACGCAGACGTACCAGGACTCAATGATCTTGTTTATTTTCTCTCAAACATTGACAATATGCGTCTGCTGAGGTCGCGTCTAACAGAGGTATTTACCACATCTGTATTATCTACACAGTTGTATGCTGCTCAACTGTGCGCTCTGAATTGTCGACCGTTTCGGCTGTCTAGCTCCTTTTCTTGCACTTGCTCTGATCCTTACGGTGGAAGAGAGTGCACTATATGTCATCTGTCTCTCTTTTTTCCCCAGCATGTCAGCCCTCTCTGTCCAGTGACATTGTTGTGGTCATTCAAATTAAGCGATTTTCGGCCGTTTATAAACAACACGAGGGAGCGTTTTAACAAATCTCCAGTGGCCAAGTTCCAGTGCAGTTTTAGACGACTGGGTGACACGGATTCGGAAGCACAACTGGTGTTTTATCGGAAAATTTCGGTAAGCATTTTATAGTTGTCGCCGCCAAACTTCACGACTTACACACACTAATGTCATCATGTACGTGGAATGATCCGCACTGCGTTCTCAACGTCGAACTTATTATTTGAAATATCTGATTCTGAAACATATCACCGATATGGTCTTTTTACTGCTTTTTTTAAAACGTTTAACGCTTCCACGGAATCCTTGTAAGAAGCACACCATTTGCTCAGGAGTCACTTATCATGTATATAATTTATTCTGTATTCTATTTTGTCCTGGACCTGGTCGAATTAAGTCCAGCTATTGCGTTCTCTCGAACTGTATTGATGATTCCTGGAAATTTTTGATCAACCGGTCTATACGTCCACAACTGCGCGCACTAGAACTACTCTGTGCTTGCACGTTACTTGTTACATGGTTTCGGTAATTGGCGTACCATTTCAAGTACGCTGGCTCTCCTTTGGTGTTTACCGAATCAAGTATTACCCTTTCCGGCGTCAAGAGTCCGGACAGCTGTTCTTCCTGTGCCTTGGACACCGATTGCCGAATGATCAGATCGACTTGTGTTCCGAACAGACACCCATGTTCACAGTCGGATAACCATGTACTAGCTATTTTGAACTCCCCAAGACTACGTGTAACCAACCTCAAGTAGACTCCATTTGTACTCAGTTGCTCATTTGTTCGCCAAGCTGCGAAATTGGTTTGCAAACGTTTCACCGTCATGCGAGACGGCATCATCAGTGCGTCGAAATGTGTAGTGTAATCTCGCTGATTGAATTGTCGACCCGTGATCGGCGTGCAGGTGACATTTCGAAAGGGACGGCTTCGATCCGTGTCCCGTGATCTCTACCCATTTCCCCGTGGCGGAGGTCGTCGCTTGGGTTGTTCCTATTCAAGCGGCGTCTCATAATTTCTCTAAGTTCTCTCCGTCGGAGGGGTTGGTAAACTGGGTCAATCTCGATATGCATGTTGATCGAGTCTTTTGTTGAGAACCACGCTTCCAGGAACTCCCTTGCTCTTCTTGTTTCACCTCGTGCCAGGACTTCTGTTTTGGCCCATTTGTACTCAGTAATCGGGCTTCCCACACGGACATGTTTGGAGTCAGAGTCTGTGAATGCGATGTCCCAAGCAATCTGACCATAAGTTTTAACATTGCTCTAAAGCTATGGTGATTGGCTAGCACCCATAAGATGAACACCACTTGGGACAAACCTAGTTCCTCTCCAACACAAAAGGAACACAAGTTCAAGGAGTTTCTGTTACTGGGACAGTGGGAAAACTAGACCTTTGATCCGCAACGACGGACATCGACTGGTTCGCTGAACGAATCACTCTGGAGAGTAGTTCATCAGGCGTGATGTAGTGCCCTCGTCTGCGAATTTTCTGATATTGCATAAGATGTTGATGTCATACTCCCTGTTTCGGAGAAATACAGAGGTGAACTTTATCTAGTTATATAAAACACTGTGCCTAGGTTCGGTGACCTTGCTTTATCCTTGCTGAAAACAGAAGAGACTGAGGTGGTGCTTTCAGGCTGAAGGTTCTTAACCGATATCCAAGCCTTCAGCGTGGCCACAGAATGTTACATGAAATTCATCGAGGTGGATTGCCACTGCAATGAAGCAGGTTGCAGCTATCTTGCCGCTTTTGTTCACTGACTCTTGCGAGCGTCGAAGCATTGCCGGCCATGCTGGTCTGTGCCATATTGGAGAATGCATTGATCACCTACTTGCATTTCGCCAAGTGCATGTATACAAAATACCCATTGTGGTGAGTACTCGCTGACTAGCACCACCGTTGATTCTCATAGTTATGGTTATCCTTAAGGGAGGTGTAACGATCTCCAGGCCGCAAACCCCTCTCCCGAGTTCCCCAGGAAATGTAGGGTACGTACCGGTTGACTAATATCGTTTTATCTTTTCTGGAATGGTCAGGTAAAAACTCGAATAGCATGGGCGATATGGCTCTCTTTTGGTCGAATTCACTAAGTAGACTGACTCCAGACGCTGCACGCTTCGATATATGCTCCCCACTTTCGGAGTACAAAGTGCTTTTTGCAGGACTGACCTGGAACTCCACTATTCCTTATTATCCCTGATCTTCCAGTAGAAGTGTCAAGTTTGTTCACTTAGGTGGGTTGTCGCATTACTGAGCGATTGCTGCCTGTACTGTCAAGATCAGTGCTTTTATAAATTCTGCTTCAGACGTTCAGTTGAACAATTATGATCCGAGCACCAAACTACGGTGGATCCAGTTACCACGACTCACAATGGATAACAACGTCGTGATAGTGGGGTAAAATGCAAATAGAATGTAAACAAAATGGCAACAAGAAGGAAGTGCATTACGTTAAACAGAATGGATCAGAAATTCACAACCGAATGCAAGAAACCGAATTCAGGGACGTCACTGACTACGTGCTTACACCATGTCTGATACTCTCTCCAACTATTGGTGTGGATTGTCTTGAGACCCCCATCCACGAAGACGGCATGTACTGGCTTGATCAAGTCTCTCAGTCAATTTCTTCAAGCTTCTACACCACATCATGGACTGGCCACCTCGCGGTTTCGCCCAACTATGTGCGCTCTTTCAAGGGTAATCTTATCCATTAACTATAAATTACGCGGGTTGCGTTACGGCCGTTGTTACTGTATTGATCAGAAACATGGCCACTGCGCGCTGTATGTAACATTTGAATGGTATCCAGTGACTGCGAGTTCTTGCTGTTATTTGGTAAGAAATTCGAACAAGTATCGCTGAAGTCTCTAGCTTTTCAGCTAGTGGGGCTTCTTCTGACTTTATGCACCCAGTGACTGTGTTCCGTCGTTTGGCGAAATCGCACGGTGGCCGACAGATCATGCCAGAGGATGACGTCAGCAATTCGCCGGCATACCACGCGACCGCCACCACCATGCATCGCGTGTGGGCTGTGAGTATACTTCGAGGTTGTTCGCACCCAATGCGGATTCCAACCTCTTACCTCCGGATTAAAAGGCACCCATGTAATCTTTTTGGTCACCTACCTGCCAGTGACGTGACAAGACACGAACAACCTGACTGAATGACTTGCTCAGGTTGGTGTTTACCGTCTGACTGGAAATTGGAGCCTTACAATCAGATCAGATAGGTGCTTGGTGGCTTTATCATACATGATACGGTTACGGATTTAGTGTGGCTACCGCATTCTAGTCCCTTGCGTTCATCTGTTAACCCTACGTGACCCAATTTTTCCCACTTTTAAATCCCTACTTTCCCCATTCTATTCTGCGTTTTATCTTAATTGTCCTCACTATTAATTACTTAATGCTACTATGTCGACGGAATCCGCTGGATTTCGGTGTCCGGATCATAGTTGTTTAGCACCGAATTTACATCCTAACATTTGGGAAACTGCACCGCCAACCAATATGGACTATGTGCGGAGTGTGGCGGAAAGACGAGTTGGAATCTGAGTATTCAATCGACTCAGTGTGCAAACTGCAAATGGCCTAATGAAGAATTAGAGTGGTATCATTTTCAGGCAGGCATATATGTGCATACATCGGACTATAAGACATGTGAGGGTAGATAAGCAGGCATCACGCTGGTTGCACACCCACATAGCACCCTTCACCTGTTCGGGACATCGCCCACAGATGGTGGTTCGTCGGGTTGTGTTAGGGTGAGTACATCATGAGGTGTACCATGCAGTAAGATGCCTTCCCTCTTCATTGTTTACCAGGTACAGATGAAGGCCAGAAAAACAGAAGTGGTTCAAAGAAGGTACATTCAGTGGAAGATCTGTCCAAGAAAAGATTGTTCCTTATCTTGCTACGCTACATGGGTATACCATACTTGACCTGTTAACAAATTCGTAGCTCGTTTCCTGACGGGAATTCATCGATTCTTTGTTATCCGATGCATCTTTGTTGTCTTGTAGTGGCAACAACACTTCTTAGGTTAGATCCTTGCAGTAGAGGCGAAGCGAGCTAGTCCTACCAGCGACCCCACCCCTGCAACCTGTGTAGCGTAGTCCACGAACGGAATGAGAACACTCCCCAAGGAACACGCGTACGATACTATGTTTGGAAAGTGACTCGCGCGATCTGTGCCTACTTATTGATTCAGTTACTGATCATACGATAATCACTTGTGTACTCAGTTGCTGTCTGCTGGACACATCTCGATTGGCAGGGTGAGAGAACTATTGGTGTCCCATCTCTAAATAAGAACATTAGTATGTGCTACAAGTTGAGCGGCCGCGCTCTTGGCTTGCGACACCGCGTTCGGTTGAGTGGACCTGTAAGACTGCTTGGCACTACGTTTGCGGTCGTATGCATTCTCATGCGTTTCTGGTCTTAATGTCCGGATAGTACTGACGGGCTGCAATCATATCGGCTATCCTTTGCGCGTTTGGTTCTCTGGCCGGTGGAACATCCTGGGGCGCCCGCTTCTCATAAGTTGACTGATAGTGTAGGCGACGCTCAAGCCAATGGAGATCGTCGTTTTTGTGCTCTCAGAACATAAAACTTGCGTACTTCGCCACTGAGTTTCATGTGGTGAAGCCAGCTATCGGGAGAATAGTGGGAAAAGGCTTGTGCATTTTATCTCTTTGGCTTATTTCTTGAGATTCATCTCCAATTACCTCGGTAAGTTCCATTATGTGCAAAACGGAAACCATTGCATTTCTATCATCTTTATATTGATATCGTGCAATTGAATACGGGGTAAGCCATCCGCGACATGATTCTCGGAACTTAGGTGGAATATGGTTTACCACTGATCAAGAGGTTTCGGTGTCATTTATTTTATTTAAAAATCCTAATTCAACGAACGAGTACACCAGCGGTTAATCCGCAGTGGTTTGTGTTCATTATTTCCCGGCCTGAGGTGGGCAGGTACTGAAAACCTTTGACCTGGAAGGAACAGGTGTGGTTTTTCACAAGTCCAGTCACAAACATCTGTAGGGGATAGCATACTTGAAGCATATGCAGTAACCTTGCCTTTCCGTTCTGCATCTGATATAAGTGAATGTTTGACGCATCTGTCGAAATGATTTTAGGATGGCTTCGAGGTACCACTGATGCATCTTTCAATTTCCTCAAGGCCGACTACTGTTCCGAACCTCAGTCAAGGTGACCTTTTTCTTAGCGTTCTCAAGGGCTCCGCTAGAGTGTTGAAATTAGGCCAAGATAGTGCCTAACGCACCCTTAGAGATTCGTGCTTTTCAACAACCCGAGTGTTCGTTGTGCGTCTCCGGATTCCACAGCGCGATAGGACGTGTCCGGGAAATTAACATTCATGGCACCTACTTTGCGATTTTCGTGATTGAGCAGAAGATCCAGGCTGTCCAACCGGTTTAATACAACACTTAGCCTTACATCATGCTCTCCTGGTGACGGACTGAAGACGCAAATATTTTACACGTAAGTGGCTTTTCCAGCTAGATCTGATAGTGAGTGACTCATTGACATCTACCAAGCTGCTGGAGCGGAGCTTGGGCTCATTGCAGAGGTTTATACTAGAGCTTACCGCTCCATATAGGAAAAGCACGTCAGTGGCCTCTATTCCGTTGTCAATTGTATGTACAAAACGTCTTTTCCGGGTCTAGCTCAGAGTAGAATTGTGCGCCGATTATCTTGACTGTACAGCATCTTTCGATCATTGCATAGACTCGCAATACCATCCTTCTTTATGAAGGTGATTATAAGAGTTACCAACACAGAACAGTCATTGGACCCTACTGGATCAATGCATGCCATTTTCTGTATGGCTTTTTTACCATCTCACACGGAATGGATCTGCTCGCGATATGGAAAACCGTTTGGTATCCTGTTTAAGACATAAGAAGTGAGCGACGGATGGAACCCCGCCAATTGTTTCATTGACTGCCATAGTGCACATTCGGTTGGTAGGTGACGTCATATTATGAACAGTCACGGCATTTGGCCGCGGTAAGTCCATAGTAACCCCCGACATAGCGTAACAACAATGTCGGATGCAACCGACTGTATGGTAGGCGAATGTTTATATGAGCATATGTGTAGGAATATCAGAAGACAAAGTATTAAGATAAGTCAATTCAAGGTAAGCTTTAGGCACCCAGATGGATACCTTTTCAGTGTTTTACACTTTATACCACAAATGTGATCAAACAGCATCAGTAGATATGAGAATTTTACAAATTTAAAACAGAATGGGTAAAGGGTGCACTGATGTCATTTAAGTACTCAGTCCCGCATCTTCGAGCAACGACCGCTTATTGATAGAACGAAGTATAAGATTCTTTATTCATTTGACGAGGCCAACTTTTGTTAAAACATTTATTCATAGCTCGTTTTATTTGGATAAAAGCAGCAACCTGCACGTTATGCGCTGTCTCAGATACTTGAGGTTGTTCAGCCAAAGAATTCGCCAAAATATTCACACAGAATTGATACCTTCTCAGTAGATAGCGCAAAAAACTGTTTTTGGTGAGACTGACAACGGTCCATTCAAAGTCATCGCCTTTAGTGGGATGACACTGTCATCTCGTGCATGCTCGTGGGTCAAATACAAGCAACTAACAAGGAATGCAAAACAACGTCACATGAAATCAATAATCGATCAAGTGCATTGCACCCACCATACATGTTTCATATGTATATGAACCTTGTCTGCAAGTGATTGTCTTGAAGGCTAGATGGAATCATTGTTATGGGTAATTCAAATTCTAGTTCCACTTCAGGTGGCACAGTGGTGCGGCGTCCACGTAGGGTAACTGTACGGATGCCGGAGGAGGAGGGGTAATAGAGCCTGGGTTTCCTCAGAATAGGGTTTTATAACGAAAGCATATTCCTCACAACCGATAAGCAAGAGTCCCCACTCAGTCATTGGTCAATTAGAGTTACTCGGTGGCGGCGACGGTATCTGGCAAATGGACCCACTTGCCCTAATTTTTGTTATCTACTGTGCGGACCGGACATGTTTGACAATCAGATGTATCGAATGCTTCAACAATTATGGCACAGAATCCACACTGTCGCGGTAGTTTCTCTCCGTAGCTTTCTGATTTCAAGTGATTCACCCACGCTGAACAGGCGGGTTGTTCAAGCGTAGTCGTTTTGATCCCGGCAATCTACATGACCCCACCCCATAAGAGAGCTTCGGAGGTTTCACATGTGCGATGCTCTCTGATGCTGGCTATAAAATGTTGCGCTACCTGGGAAGTACTGAAGTAATCGCAAGTTTCTTGGCACGAATCAAGCAGGAAACGAAGTGTTCCCGTGGTTCTAAGCTCTGTTGCCCAGAACGGCAGAATTCGAAGCACTCTACAAATGCATTAGCCTTGGTGTCCCAATATCCATTTTATACAAACAGCGCATTCACAACCGTGTCCACAGTTTGTAGACCCAAAATATCTGATTAACGTTGGTCTTCATTACCTAACAGGTGATGTAGAAGTTGCGAATTATTATTTTTATTGTCGACAGTAGTTAATGGAAGTAGGTCCAAGTAATTTGCATAAGATGTTTACCATTGAGCCCAAACGTGTTCATAGGTTCGACACTTGAATTGCGTCAGATAGCTTTCGAAAGTGGAGGATGAAAAATCGGTTCGCAGTGTTCATGCCAATGCTATATCAAAGTAGATGCATCAGGCCTGTCGGCAATTCGGCCCCTGTACCCGGTATGGTATACATTCACTCCTCGAGGAACACGCGCACGGAACTGTATTCGGAAAGTTAGCGCGCACAGTCAGTTAATGGCCGATCGATAATCACTTGTCCAATCATTTGCCGGCTGCAGACCGCGTATTTATACACGACAGTAAAACGATAAAAATATCAGCTAATTTTTTATTCATTTACAAATGGTTCCTTTTGCTTTGCGTTTCCTCCCCTATGTTTTCATACCACGGCTCTTTTTGCAATTATTAAATCTTTCGATCATTTACCCAAGGGTGCTTTCACGTTTTTCGTTGTCGATACCAGTTTGCACAGTATTGTTTCTAATTTTCTGACCGACAGCCTGTTTCGCAGCCGAAGGCTGAAAAATCAGGTTCCACACCTGGATTGCTCGGCAGAAGCAAGAAAGGGCTCCCCTGATGATATTGATGCATTCGACTAGATGTTGCCCATATTCGTGGACTCGCTTCGTTCTTTCAGCTGTGAACTATGGTTGTGGACCATGCTACCGGACCACCAATGGGCTTTGTGATCCCCTCTTTTTTTACTATACACTCATTGATGCTTCCCTCCCTTGTCTAACGTGTAAAACATTATATTTCACTATGTGATGTAAACTTGCGTTCCATATCTTGTTGCGAATGTTTATAGACCACTATAACACTTTCTTTTCAATGCCCTCCTTTTTGTTGTTCACTGGGCTTCTACTTGGACGTGTATACATGTGAAACTGCTACTGAGTATCCCTTAGCAGAAATGGGACCCAACATCTCCCTCCCAGAATAAAGTTAAGCACACGACGTGGTAGTTTACAAAGTCCAGCACATTCACCGAGCCTCCTGTCTCGATCTTTTCTACTGTCAAGTAGTTCCCCGAAATTAGTACAGATGCTTAACAGCGATCAGCTTCTATGATTCCTAGTCGATAACTCGTGTACTTTATAGTATACCAGCGTACGACGTTCTCTCAACTAAATGTGCTCTTCCATGTTTTCCTTTTCGGGTCACCGATTTGCTCTTCCATCAGCCCAAATGTGCACTTTGATTGTCGCGATTTGGTTCAATCTGATTTATCCTCCTGACAAATTTGCGGCTCAGCTGCTGGTCCAACGCACTGGATTTTCTTTTGCAGCTTTTTTCCCCTCAGCTGCGCCAACCCATATGTTACCATACTCCGACACCAACAACTCTTTTCTCTTTTCTTCCTTGGATCAATCGGCTGCAGATGTGTTTTGGACGAAAACTCATGTATCTATCACTGTAGTCGGTGAAGGTTGGGTCACCCTTCAACGCTAGTGACGTAAGGGGCTAGTAGATAACTATACCACATGATGTTACAGCATCTAAACGACAGGTGGAAACCTTCTTGTACTTTGACTGAACAAGCTCTGTAATTATCCTGATCTCGTTCATTGAAGCACCTGATGAAAGCAACCAATCAGAGTAGTCGGACTAGATCTTGATGACGAACTACGCATCCCGAAAAATGCGAGCCGAACAGACTTCAATATAATAAGGATGACGAAACGAATGGCGTCGGTCTGTTGTTCTGGACTCCATCTTTGGCGTCCCAGAGATGCAGTGTCATTGGCTGGAAACTAAGCCGTGGCTCAAGACCAACATCATTGTCAGGGTGTATCTACGTGTTGCGGTGCTTCCCCTTTCTTACTCTAGTACTGCAAATTATCAAAAACTGTGAGCGGGAAATTAGACAAAAACATTGCATTTTTCTTACTCCAATCCTGCTTTTTCATTCTGCTATAAATCTGACGGCACAATATACGTATCACGAAGTGTGTTCCATATATATATATATATATATATATATATATATATATATATATATATATATATATATATATGTGACTTGCGCTGCACCACCCACAGGTCCAACCACACCCCATATCCAGTGCAAACCCGAAGGAATAAGACCGGGGGCATGTGGATGGGAGCCAAGTCTCATCAACAGAGCCGGCCCACAATCCTTAACAGGCAAACACAAGCACGCTGTATTTGGAAATCAAGCGCACACAAGGCGGTGGCTGGGCCGTGGTTCGCTCCACACTGGCTGCATGGAACCACTCTTCGAGCCTAGCACGACCACAAGGACCGTGCACTCCGTTCCCTCCAGCAACGACCAACAGTCTCCTGGAGCCAATATGGACGAGGTAGTGGGTAATAGACAGGTAGGCACCTTGTCAAGATGCACATCAAGCGCAGGCACACCGGGGATATCAAGCACCAGCCAACCACTTGAAACGACGATATCGAATGAAATAAATCGGATAATGCATACAGATACGATGACATAACTCTTCAGTAAATGAGCATATGAAATAAATTGGTTACGAACAAATCCGCGATAATTTTAAGATGTTAGAAAATATATTTTAAGGAAATGCCACAAACGCGAAAATGTTATCGAAGTTAACCATAGTTTAAGGGACTGCAATTTTATAGAACATATTTCAGCTAGACATTTATATGAGATAAAAAGCATTAAGACAACATTGCAAACCCACCACCTGAACTAAAGGGACTCATCATGAAGGCACACGCTTAGTAAATCAAATGCAACGTACGTACAAACGCTGTGCCGGTTCTACCTACGTCCTCTGCAGGGCTCGTCATCGTTTCGGTATTGGCCCCGCGTGGCCTCGCCCATGGCTCACTAGGCCTGCCTGACTCAGGCACTCGCGACCGCATATGCTACAGCACCATGCGCTCGCTGTCGATGGAGTACAACTCATCAGCGCCTATCGCTTCCGCAATTGTCGCTTCTTCTGTGCATGCACGAGTGATTTGTCTTGCACCTCGGCAACGTCCTTCATGATCAGATCGCGCCATGCACGCCGATCAACTGCCTTCGATTCCCGTGACCTGCAACCAAGATTAGAATGTGAAGCTCACTTTAATCATGTCCAGGTAACGTAGCTTCGGTTTCCCCACATGCCGCTTCCCAACACTCAGCTGACCATATAATAGCTGCTTCGGTATCCACGTCGAATCCATACGCCACACATGACCGAGCCACCTCAGGTGTCTCAGCAAATATATGAAGCCCACTACATGAATTCCACTACGGCGCAACACTTCCGTGTCTGCAACTCTGTCGCACCAACCGATGCACAGAATCCGTCGCAAACACTGTTGATGGAACCGCTCGAGGTATTGCAAATACCACCGGTACATCGTCCACGTTTCACTGCCGTATAGAAGAACGGACAGCACCATGGATTTGTACACCATCAGCTTCATGCCAATGGTAAGCTGATGGTTGTTCCACACTCGGTACTCTAGCTTTCCGAATGCCACCGCTGCCTTCCATACGTACATACGAAGCTCACTGTGTAGCTGCTGGTCAGTCGACATCACACTCCCAAGGTAGCAGAAGCGGGAGGTGGCTTCCAATAGGTCATCACCAATACTGATTCGCTGCAATATTGTAGATTGCACCTCCAGTGAAGGCTGAAAGAGACAGACAGTTTTGCTTGTGTTGATAGTGAGCACGAATTTGGTCTCTGTCGAAGCCAGAGCACTAGTCATGTGCTGCAACTCATCCGCGCTGGGTGCAAACAACGCACAGTCGTCAGCAACATAAGGATAGTTGTCTCAGACTAGAGTTCTCGCACCGAAACGACGGATGTTCAGCAACCCACCATCAATACGGTGCTCCACACGAACACCGTAAGCACAAGCGGCATCAAAATTACATCCTTGGTTCCCGGGTACGAACTACATGTATCAATGGCAGCAGATGTGAGGTCAGCGGCACTCTCGTGCTCAGTAGCGAGGGAAGAAGAGTTGAGAGGGGGGGATCGAGAGGGCAGATGATACCCTCCGGCTGCTTTGCGAGAGAGGGGTTTTGGTCGAAGTGCCTGACCTCTTGCTTTTGGTTCAAAAGTCTGACCCACAAGACAGTGGGGTATATGGAGGTTCGCTTGAGGGACTCCACCCGGAACCTTTGGCTCAATAGCCTGATACACAAAGCCGTGGGGAGTAAGTCCAGCTCAGAAGTATGATTGCAGAGACCCACTGGGGTATGTCTGTCACACAGTCTTCGAAGATTTGGAAAAATGTATGTGTCACGATCGTAGCATGCTACGCACGCGTGCTGTTGCAACTCGGTACTAATAGAATGTGCACATTTCGAGAATCTATCTATTTGACCAAGTTGGGCTACATGCCTGAAATTGGACAAGCGTACCGCGTCAGCCCATGAAGCCGAATGCGAACGCTGCTCTGGCCATAACGGAGTGTTCATTACAGTGATCGATAGCGGTTGATCCATGATCATTGTAGTTGGGTTGATATTGAATAATGTGTCAGCTGTACGCCGTAACGGGGTTTCGCTGCCGCGCAACCACCACCAGTGACTTGGCTAGTTAGGATTGGTCTAACCCTAACATATATCTCATCCTGAGACTGATATTACATACATCCTGTTTCTTCGACGCATTTTTGGCTACGCAGACTTAAACTGTATCTTCTTAACCTGGTTAAAAAATGTACTCTATTTTATTTACTCAGTCTGTTATTCTGCTGCATATTCCGTGTCAATCTTGCGTGTTTATTTTCCTTCAAATTCGGTGTTGTTTGTTTGATATCCCCGTTGTGGCTGCACTTGATGTGAATGTTGCTACCTGTTTAACACCCTCCACCTCGATTAGTGTTTCCAGCAAACTGAATCTTTGTTGTAGGGATGGGATGACGTTCCTCGTGACTGTGCTGGGCTCAAAGAGTGGTTGCATGCACTCAGTGTGGATCGGACTACGGTCTCGCCACCGATTTGTGTACGTCTGGTACACATGATTCCCCACATAGAAAGACGGGAATGCTGTTACTGTGCATGTTGCAGAAGCGTGAGCTGGTTCCGTTGATGAAGCATGGCTCCCATCCAGATGTCTCCCGGTCTTATTTCCTCCAGTTTACACTGGGTATGGGGTGTGTGGATGGTGCTGTTCGGGGTCCTGCGCAAGCCACTCATGGTCCCTTTGTAGACGCAGGCGCCCTGAGACTCTCCCTATGGAGGCCGCAGGGACATGCAAATCCGGTACCGGATGCCAGCAACCATGTTACGCGCCAGTCAAACGGCCAGCCGCAGGTGAAAGTTAGCGGGTTTGCACCAATTTGCCCGAGTTGCCTGGCTTGAAGCGGGCAATGGAAAACCACTTACCGCCGGAAGGTGCCCTCCCACCGTCAGAGCAAGCCCTAGCGCCCGTGCTCTACGCTAATCGAGCTGAGTTTTAAAGGAGGAGGGCCATCGATCTCACCCTAACCTCCGTAAAGGATTGAATTGTGAGAATGGGTTAGTCTGACCACTAACCAATGACCATTGACACTTTCCAAGTGCCACCCAGCATAGGTCATTGGGTCACAGGAGTAAACAAACCGTCGCACCACGCTGAGGCACAGTCTCATATCATCTAGCCGCGCTACATTAGCCGTCGTCAATAAATCGTGAGGTGGCCAGTCGATAACGTGGTGTAAGCGCACGAAGAAAGTCGTTGAGAGATTTAGTCTGGTTCGAATGTATCGCCTCGCGGAGGGTGGTCCATGGATGGACCACACAGACAGTTGGAGATCTCATCTGACGTGACGCAATCACATCCACATTTCTTATGCATGTCAATATGCTGTCATAGTAAACCTTACTTTTCTAACCCTTTCTTAG